TCTTCTTCTTCTTCATCCTCATCCTCTTCTTCTTCTTCTTCTTCTTCCTCATCCTCATCCTACTTCTTCTTCTTCTCATCTTCTTCCTCATCCTTCTTCTTCTTCTTATTCTTCTTCTTCTTCATCTCATCTTCTTCTTCTTCTTCATCCTCATCCTCTTCTTCTTCTTCTTCATCCTCATCCTCTTCTTCTCTTCTTTTTCTTCATCCTCATCCTTCTTCTTCTTCTTCTTCTTCTTCATCCTCTTCCTACTTCTTCTTTCTTCTTCTTCATCCTCATCTCTTCTTCTTCTTCTTCTTCTTCATCCTCACTCCTTCTTCTTCTTCTTCTTCTTCATCCTCATCCTCTTCTTCTTCTTCTTCTTCTTCTTCCTTCTTCTTCTTCATCCTCTTCTACTTCTTCTTCTTCCTTCATCTCACCTTCTTCTTCTTCTTTCTTCTTCCTCTTCTTCTTCTTCTTCTTCTTCATCCTTCTTCTTCTTCTTCTTCTTCTTCTTCTCATCCTCATCCTACTTCTTCTTCTTCTTCTTCTTCATCCTCATCAAACTTCTTCTTCTTCTTCATCCTCATCCTCTTCTTCTTCTTCTTCTTCTTCTTCTTCTTCTTCATCCTCATCCTCTTCTTCTTCTTCTTCTTCTTCATCCTCATCTACTTCTTCTTCTTCTTCTTCTTCTTCTTTCATCCTCATCCTTCATCTTCTTCTTCTTCTTCTTCATCCTCATCCTTCTTCTTCTTCTTCATCATCCTCATCCTACTTCTTCTTTCTTCATCATCCTCATCCTACTTCTTCTTCTTCTTCTTCTTCTTCATCTTCATTCCTACTTCTTCTTCATCATCCCTCATCCTTCTTCTTTCTTCTTCATCATCCTCATCCTACTTCTTCTTCTTCTTCTTCTTCTTCATCTACATCCTTCTTCTTCTTCTTCTTCTTCTTCTTCATCCTCATCCTACTTCTTCTTCTTCTTCATCCTCATCCTCTTCTTCTTCTTCTTCTTTCATCCTCATCTTCTTCTTCTTCTTCTTGCCATGGGCCCCTGTACCGCCTCCTCATGCTGCTGCCAGGTCCAGAGTGTGTCATGGGTCCCTGTACGGCCTCCCATTGCCGCTGTCTCCATCGCCACACTCTGCCATGTGCCACTTTCAGGTCTCCTCATCACACTGCTGGTGGGTTCCATTTTGTCATAGGGTGCTGTATGGCCTCCCATTGCTGCTGCCTCCACCGCCACACTGTGGCTCCACACTCTGGTTTTGGCCCCGTGACTGCCCAAATGAGTGAAGTGTGCGGTGATTCTAAGATCAACGGCACTCATCTGCATGTCATACTGACTGACAGTATTATTTCTCTTCCCCAGCAGACTCCAAGGGCATTTAAATTAAAGGTACAGTGTTCTGCACTAATATAAAGGCTCTCTGAAGCCTAGAAACCCTTTTTATAAGTTAAATTCACAGCAAATAAATTCGCATCAAATCAAATTTATTCCACAAATTCGGCGAATCAGCCGAATCGAATTTTTTGAATAATTTCGCTCATCTCTAGTTGTGACGATTGTGGATTCATCTTATGCAATTAAAATGCTGGTTTTTATCTTTAAAAATGTGAGTAACCTGGTACTTCATTATTGATATAACCAGGTATTGCAGTATTACGCTATGTCATTTTGTTTTTCCCTACATTATACTGAGTATTTCTGGAAAGAGGAGTCTGTTGGTCTTGGAGATTGGAGGAAAGTTTTCCTTTGCGGAGTGGAGATCTGGAGGCATATTATAAGGGTCTAGGATCCCATAAATACCTACAAGGGTTTTTTTTCACCAAAATCTGGTGAGTGCGGTATATAATGTTTGAACACAAATTTTTGGTGGAGCACATTTCTTTGGAAAAAGGACTTTCTGAGTTGCTAAGGATTTTTTCACTTATCATTTTTTTCACTTATTTTGGAGTGGGACTTTATTTATATTTTTTATTTATAATATATATAAGTTGTGATTTGGCACTATAACAAATTATTTTGCGCTGTCTGAATTTAGATTTTTTCGGTGTAGGTTTACACTGATGTACAGCAGCATTTAATTCATTTTATTTTATTTTTGTTTTAATCTTGGCGCTGGTAATTAATGTTCATACTATGATCAAATAGTTCAGGTGATTCCTCTGTGCATGATAGTGGGGCGTGGATTTAGCTCAATCATGGCTCTCACAGTGAATTCAGCTGTGATTGGCCAAAGCATTGCACCTGACCTGTGGTCAGGTGCAATGCTTTCGCAAATCACAATGCACTGTGAGAGCGCAGTGCATTGTGGGGCGTTGCGGGTGAACAGCTTGTCGAATGCCTGTGATGTATATGTATATGTGTTCAGTGAACACATAAACACCCGATGTTCAAGTCGAACTTTTGACGGAACTATACTGCCAGAGAGCATTTAGGTGGTTATTCTAGTCCTAGACCGACCTTTGGCAGTCCTTCACCTCTTATTTGGAAAAGGTCACGGTAATATCTGTGAATGCCAGCTGTGATGACTCCAACAGTTAGAGTTGGAGTTAGTGATATCTAGCTTTCTGGGGGGCAACTGAATATATACCAGTATATATGTATAGGCATATTCCCTACTTGCAATGGTGATTTCTTAGACTGGATGGAGGTTCTATTTCCTTAACCACTTGCTGTCGGCCACTGTATACAAACGGTCGGACGGTGGCAGTCCAGGGGCGGGTTGCCGTTCATAAACGGCGCCCACCATTTTTTGGAATTGTGCACACTCCCTTGGAGCGCGCAGCACTGCAATCTGGTGCCCGCTGTGTCCTTCGGACACAGTGGAACACCGATCATTTAAAAGTGTGATAGTGCTGAAAGCTGAAAATTGGCCTGGACAGGAAGGGGGTAAAAGTGTCCGGACTTGAAGTGGTTAAATTGATGGTGTGCAGACATAAACATAGTGACAGCATCACAGTTCCAGAAAGTTTACTGATTGAGATAGAGATCAATATCTACAATTCAGAATCTCCTACACATTCTGGCCATATGTGATCTTTGACACAGCGGTAGCTGGGAAAGAACATCCTACTACTGCTGCCTTTAATTTTGCTCAAAGCCCTGTCTCTAAATTCTGATCATTCTCTATAGTAGGGTCACCGAAAGTCGTCAATACTGACCTCCATGGATCAATGGTACTATCCAAGGGGTTGATAAAAGGGCTGGGGGTTAATAGGCAGTTCATAAATGATTGAAGGTCAATTTGGGGGCTCAATTAATCTTTTGAGGTATCTGTAGTGCTCCACACCAGACCCTAATCTTGAAGGTGTGGTGGCTAGTGGAAAGACAGTGGTACCCAAGGATGGGTGGTCAGCCATCAGGAAAAATGGCCTTGAGTTGTTTTTAAAAGCTGTATGTTACTGAGCTTGTTTACCGACATGCTTTGCATTTTGTAACCTTCCACCCCCCCATACTTCCTGGGAAAGATATATATAAATGTTAATGTGTAAGTGAGTGAGGTGGCAAGATGGCTGTTTAGGACAAAATGGATTAATTATAGAAACCTTAATCTGTGCTTATTCCTTTCCTTTACATTTGTACTGGCATAGTGCAAAAATAACTTTGAGGACTACCCAAAACTCATGATTTATAAGAAAGGAGAACTTATGATTTATAAGAAATGAGAACCTGTGGTGAAGCAAGTTCCTGAAAATCCATCTAGATGGCTATTTTTTGAATGACACCTATAGCCACAAGAAATAAACATCCTTTATTTACTTATTTCAGGTACTTATATAGCGCCGTTAACGTACGCAGCGCTTTACATATATATTGTACATTCACATCAGTCCCTAACCCTCAAGCGGTGTACAATCAAAGGTCCCTAACTTACATTCATACATACACATACTAGGGCCAATTTAGACAGGAGCCAATTAACCTACCAGCATGTCTTTGAAGTGTGTAAGGAAACCGGAGTACCCGGAGGAAACCCACGCAGGCACAGGGAGAACATGCAAACTCCAGGCAGGAGGTGCCGTGGCTGGGATTTGAACCAACGACCCAAGTACTGCCAGGCGGAAGTGCTAACCATTTAGCCTCCGTGCTGCCCATAGCTTTGAAGAGCTCTCAACATGAAAGCAAGAAGAGATAGTTTGTTTGTAAATCAATAAGCTGTATGCAGGAAGAGCTCTGAAAATTAACCCCTTGCCCTCCAGAGGATTTGCCCCCCCTTCCGGACCAGGTCATTTTTTTGCGTTACAGCGCTGTGTTACTTTAACCACTTGCCTACCAGGCACTTATACCCCCTTCCTTACCAGCCAATTTTCAGCTTTCAGCGCTGCCGCACTTTGATTGACAATTGCGCGGTCATCATGCAACATTGTACCCATATGAAATTTTGATCATTTTTTTCTCACAAATAGAGCTTTCTTTTGGTGGTATTTAATCGCCACTGGCGCTTTACTTTTTGCGCTATAAATTAAAAAAGTGCAAAAAATTTGAAAAAAAAAAAAAGTTTATTTGTTTCTTTTATAAAATTTTTCAAACAGGTATTTTTTCTCCTTCACTGATTTTGCGTTGATGAGGCGGCACTGATGGGCTCAACTGATAGGCGGCACTGATGGGCACTGATAGGCAGCACTAAAGGGCACTGATAGGCAGTACTAATGAGGTGGCACGGATAGGCGGCACTGATAGACAGCACTAATTAGGGGTCACGGATAGGCGGCACTGATATGCAGCACTGATAGGCGGCACTGATAGGTGACACTGATGATGGGTACCACGGCACTGACTGGCACAACCCCTGGGCACTGACTGTGGCACTGACTGGCAGCACTGGTGGGCTGCACAGGTGGGCAGCACTGGTGGGTGGGCACAGGTGGGTGGCACTGGTGGGCACAGGTGGGAGGCACTGGTGGGTGGGCACAGGTGGGTGGCACTGCTGGGCACATGTAGGTGGCACTTCTGGGCACAGGTAGGTGGCACTGCAGAGTGGCACAGGTGGGGGCACTGCTGGGCACAGGTGGGGCACTGCTGGGAACAGGTGGGGCACTGCTGGGAACAGGTGGGCAGGGCTAGTGGGCGCACTGCTGGGCGGAACTTGCGGTGTCACTGCTGGGCACCGATCATCAGGGCACTGATCATCAGTGCCCTGATGATCGGTGCCGATCCCCGCTCTGACAACTGCCGGTTCTCGGCAGTACTTTCCTCACGATCTGACAGCGTGAGGAAAGTGCAGCCGAGAACCGGCACTTGCATTTCCCTGTGATCAGCGTGTCATTGGACACCGCTGATCACGTGGTAAAAGGCAGGTGGGATTTTTCACCACATCACGTGATCAGCTGTGTCCGTAGGACACAGCGATCACGGAGATCGCCGGGTGCGCGCCGCCCCTGGGGCGCGCAGGAGAGCGCGTTCTGGGAGGACGTCATATGACGTCCACTCAGAACTGGCCGGCCGCGGTGAAGCCGTCATTTTCGGCTATGCGCGGTCGGCAAGAAGTTAACTGACAATTGCACGGAGATGCAACGCTGCACTCAAATGAAATTTACGTCCTTTTTTTCTAACAAATTGAGCTTTCTTTTAGTGGTATTTGATCGCCTGTGCGTTTTTTATATTTTGCGCGTTCTGGTCATCCAGCTCGTTCCCAATGTCGTAGCCCATTTTCTTCTGTCGAGCCAGGATGTTGCTGAGAGCATCCAAACCAGCATCTTGTTTTGCGATCATCCGCTGCTGCTTCAGCTCCCTATTTGATAGATTTCTTGTCTCTTCTGGCTCCTCCTTCACCCATGGGTTGTATCTAGAGGAACCTGAGGCACCGCCACTCATCAGGCTCGATCGGACCACGTTGGGCGCTGTGCCTCCATTTGAAAGGGACAGCTGAAGATGCCGTTCTTTGGTTAGCAGCTCATCAACGAGGTTCTGCCTTCGGTCCCCTTCCAGCTGGGTGATCTGACACATGGACACTGATCTCAGAAGGGAATCCCTCAGCTGTGCGATGCACTCGTTCAGTTTCTTCATCATAGTGCGGATGGTCACAGTGACCCTGGCTGGATTCTCCCCATTCCACAAGTATTGTTCCCTTTCATGGACTTTCTCGGCGATCTCCTGGGCAAGGTGGCACGTGTCATCGTATATCGATAACCAGGGATCCGGGGCCATCGCTCCAGCCTTATGATGACCTTCTTGATGAACCACGATCACAGAACAATTAACTCAATGCTTGCTGCAATCCTATTAATCTCTGATAGGTCTATTTCATATGATAACACAACCTACATTACATATGTCAAATTGTGTACTTAAACTCAAGCACAAATTTAACCACTAGCCTACAAGGCACTTATACCTCCTTCCTGCCCAGGCCAATTTTCAGCTTTCAGTGCTGTCACACTTTGAATGACAATTGCACGATCATGCAACACTGTACCCGTATGAAATTTTTATAGTTTTTTTGAGACAGATAGATAGGTGGCATTGATGGACACTGGCAGGTGGCACTGCTGGGGCTACACTGATCATCAGTGCCCTGATGATCAGTGCACATGTCCTCTCTGAGGAATGCTGATTACCGGCTCTCCTCTCGTGCTGTCAGCGTGACAGCTCGTGAGGAGAGAAATGCTGATAACCAGCATTTCCCTATTTACATGTGATCAGCTGTGATTGGACACAGCTGATCACATGACCGAGCCGACACCTTCAGCTCTTTCCGTTGATCGGTGATCCGTTGTGTCCGAGGGACACAGCGCACCACCGATCGCCGTGCTGTGCGCCCCCGAAGCCGTGCATGCGCGGTTAGAATAGGAGGACGTCATATGACGTCCTCCCAGAACGAGAGAACCGCCTTGCGCCCGTCATTACCTTATATGGCGGGCGGGAGGCGGTTAAAGAGCAGATCAACTGATTCAAGATACTTGAGTCTGTCTGGTCTCTATGTAGCTACATTGGGTATCATTGAATTGGGTATCACTAACTAACCAGGATCAGGTGTTTATACCTGAATTGAAAAATCTCAGTCAGGAGGAGTTGCTGTCATTTGCGATGGAGAAGGACAACTGGATAGAATTGGGAACACTGAAAATGCATGTGGCCAGATAAGCCCATTGTTCGCTTACAAAGCTTTTCAGTCTTCAAAATGGCAATATGTAACTGTTTATTTTGACATAATACCCTCTTAAAATAACCCAGCCTCTTAGTCGGTGTATATGTGTGTGTATATTGTTGTTGTGAACACCTGTTGCGAAGGGCGAGGTTGGGTCAATCCTCACCGCTGTGGGTGTCTTGGACACGCAGTCTCGTGACCCAGGGTTGCGTTTTAAAAAGCATTCTCATCTTGGATGGTTCATTTGGGATGCAGTGAGCATTACAACCATACAACTAATCTACCTCAGACGCCGCCAAGAACCCCCACAAGTGCAGAAACTGATAGATTTTTTTCCCCTACCATGCACAGATGGCTGCAACTAAATGGCAGAGGGAGACACTTGGCAGAGGTGGCTGCTGACTCTCCAGTGTCTGCATCTACTCCTCACACAGACATGGCTCAATCAGACGCTGCAGCTTCACAGGGCTCTGCCTCATCTGAGTCTGGTCCCTCTTCTCCTTCAACCAGAAGTCCAATGAAGTCCAGACCTCTCCCAGCATACTCTTCAACAATGCAGGAACCTAGCTACTATTACAAAAGCCCTACGCAATAATAAGATCATCTAATGGTGGAAATATCCAGCAAAACTCAGTTTTTCACACCATGGCTCAAACCACCTTATAACATGAGCTGATGGAGGCCTTCATCCCCTTCGTGAATGGAACTTACTTCCATTGATAACCAAGCCTACCAACAACCAAAATTGTTCACTTTTGACACATTTGATTCCTGACTGTCAAATTACCAACCACAAAAAAAGCCTCCACTAAAAAAAATCTGAGGCTCCGTACAAAGAATATCGCAAATTCTCTTTATAGATTTCCTGGGTGTGAGAGGGTACACAACACCGTACAAACATCTGGAGATGTAATATCTCCATGGTACAAAACTTGACCTCGCCCATCACCTTCAAGAATATTTTCAGTTGAACAAACAACAGGACACTGGTCCTTTTACATATTAGAATGCTCATAAAGCATTCATACGAGGGATACTGATCTGATCAAAATTGGTTCCTGTCTTAAGAAACAATTTGTAGCAAAATTAGATGCCCCTGTCAGATATTAACATTCTAGACTCAAAAATAAAATACACCTTCAACTGCAATGGCTATGAAGCTGTCTAAGCTTTGCCATAATCTCAGAGAGTTGATGTGTAGTCAACATGATCATTACATAAGGAAACTCAAATTGCAATATTACACAAACCACAATAAAGCAGGGAAATTCCTAGCAAACAGAATACAAACACAAAGAGTGAAGTCAAAGATTCCTCACATTTGTCACCCAGCTGCGTACTTAAAACTAGAGAATCCCCAAGCAATTGCTGATGCATTTGCGGACTATTATAGAACAAGATATTAACAACTTCCTGACAACACTTCAACTCCCTTCCCTGTCTCAAGCACAATTAGGCCTACTAAACGCTGATTTCACCCCAGAAGAGATTGATTTCACTATTTTCTCACTTCCTGATGTCAAATCCCTAGGCCCAGATGGTCTAACTAATGAAAATAATAAAGAGTTTAAACAAATTTTAACCCTACTTTTAGCTTCCATATTCCAGACAGAAGCCTCCTCAGGTTCTCTCCCTGAAGAAATGCTAAGAGCTCATATAATTACTCTCCCCAAACCCGGGAAAAATCCTGACACTCCATCTAACTTCCGTCCCATCTCCTTACTAAACATGGCCGTTAAATTATATACAAAGCTCATGACGACTGATAGACATCATCCTGACATTAGTTAAACTTGATCAACTGGGGTTTACCAAAGGAAGCAACCCTTAAAAAATGTGTTTTTCAGGGGTAAATAGTAACTGCTATATCTGTGTCATACTCCCGCCCCTCCGTCCAAGTATATATCTCAGGTCTATTGTCTAAACCCTTTATAATCTCAAATGGCAAACGCCAAGGTTGCTCATTGTCCCCCTCCATTTTTAATCTGCTAAGTAAACCTCTGGCCGAAGCCATCCCTTCAGATCCTCATATCATGGACTTTCGTTTTCAACAAAGGTCATATGTCATCAACTTATTTACGGATGATGTGATACTCATGCTGTCAAACCCAATAATATCTCTCCCCTTTGCACACAACTTGCTTACAGATTTTAGTTCACTATCATATTATAAAGTAAACTTCACCAAATCTCTAGTTCCAGATCTAGGGGTTAATAAATAAATAACACACTAAGATCCACCTAGTGTCAAACCTCCCCTATACGTAGGCTGATCAAGGTATACCATACCTAGGCTCACACCTAAACTGGCAACTGTGGCGGAAGCCAACCTTAAGCCACTTATGGCAGAAATTCTTCAAGATACCACTAGAATGGCAAAATTTGAATTATCCTGGATAGGCAGGCTGGCTGCTTTTAAAATGATGTCTCTCCCAAAAATATTATACCTCTTCCATACACTACCTATCCCTCTTAAAGCTTCAGCAGAGTTCAATAGGATCCTTAAAAAATTCATATGGAAGGTTAAAAGAGCACATTGCTCCTACAAACATCTTAACAGACACAGGATGGCAGGAGGTGTGGGATGGCCAGACATATACGACTATTACATCGCTACTCATCAAACGTTGGTTCAGAACACCACCCAAGACCCTGTGAGTTGATATAGAATCTGTCTCTACGCACTCCTCTAACCTTAGTCTACTATTGTTAGCTGATGCTTGGACACGACGAACATGCCACCTCCAACACAAACATCTATATCTGCTTGGAGAGTACTACTCCATCAATCTGTGCAAGGACCCTTCATCTACCAAATTTGTCTACCCATAGAATATTTAGAAACACTTATCCCATACATATCAGTGTATAATTTAGTAGAGTGAGGCATTGAATGGATTGATGAGTTAATGGAAGGCACATGTTCCTAATACAGTATCTAAATTGATCTTGGAATACAACCCCCCTAAGTCCTTTGCTTTTACTTATACTCATATCAAAAGTTTCCTAATACGACATCCCCCCTGTCTGTCCAAGTCAAATCACAGGTGTGCAAATTCAATACCACGACATCTGAGACCCACAGAGGCATATGTATTTTTTTATAATCTGCTTCAATTTAAAAGAGAATTTGAAAAAACCCCGCTGATGCTATCATGGAAAGTAGACCTTGGGAAAGGCTTTACTTGCTTGCAATGGTCAACTGCACTTCGTTACACTTGCATTGCCTCTTGTTGCATTAACCATTATGGCAAGATGCTATAGGACTTCGCATCAGCTTGCAAAATTATTTATTTTGACTTCTCCCCTTTGCTGGAGAGATTACACTCAACTAAGTAACATCCAAAATATTTTTTGGGCTTGTAAAAGTGTTATGAGCTTCTGTAAAAAAATATATTTAACACTATTTCAGACATTACTGGCATATTGTCCCCCCCCCTCCCCCCAGATTCAGCACTAGCACTTCTGCATATAGGCATTGAAAATGACCCCAGCATTTTTAGAATAATTATAATACTTATACTACTGGCAGCTGAATTAGTCATTGCCATACACTGGAAAAACAATATATCACCAAATTCATCTGAAGTTTTTGCCCAAGTAAATCTCACTTACAATTATGAAAAACTACTGTGATATAGATCAGCCTCCTTAATGTCCTTTAATAAACAATGGAAAGCATGAGTTGACAGATACACATAACCAGTTACTTGTAAAATGGTCCTCAGTGGAGTTTAAACCTGTTCATCTGGTGGAGTATATTCCTATAATTTCGCAATTATGGATCTTTTCCCTTTAACTTGTATTGCTAATGCAAAATACAATTCGCTATATATTATCGGGCCCTGCGTGTTGCACTCTTAAAATTTGTTACCTTGTATTTAAATTTTCTTACCATGTCTTTATTTAGTCCTATGAACACACCTTTATACTGATCCTTCTATTCTTTTCCTTTTATTTTGTATTGTGAATAAAAATGTTATTAAAAAAAACGAACTTGTTACCAGCTGCTTTGAAATGGAAGGAGAAGAGCATAAGGTGAAATGAAAATAGGACATATAGAATTATTTGATGTTTAAAGGATTATATACTTGAGGATGAGTGGAGGTGCTGAGCTGAGTTACTGAACAATAAGACAGTAGAAGGTATGGGGCTGAGAGGTGCTCCCTGCCCTCTTCAGGAAACTTAGGAAGTAACTTTACAGATAGGGAAAGACACTGAGCTAGTGACATGGCTGCTAGTGTCTGACACTGTTCCTGTTAATCTGTTCGGAGCTGACATTCTAACAGCCATATGAGCTAATATCACTTATCACAATGGACAGGTTACAGTAACAGGACAAATGTCACTGAAGGTTTTAAACATCATGTTTGCACATGAATACACTGAGCAGAATGCCACACTGACAGATAAAAACACATTTAACTTGCCAGTGCTGGACAAACTTGTGAGCGGTTGACCGGTATGATGTAAGATTGCTAAATGTACAGCCAGTGTTAGTCAAATTATGTTTCAATAAATTTTATTGGAAATTGTTTT